CTAAAGCACTTGACTGCTGACCAGAAGGCTGGCGGTTCAAACCCACCAGCCACTCCTCGGAAGGAAGGTTGGGCAATCTACTTCCGTAGTGATACTGCCTAGGAAACCCAAGGAGGGATCGCTATGAGTCAGGTCCAACTTGATGGCACATAACAACAACAGCAACAACAACAACAGGGACAGGAAGAAGAAAGGGGGTGGTCAATGGTGTTAGAAAACACTGATTAAGGCAGAGCTGCACAAGCAATTATTTTAAGTGTTGTCAATAAGTTGTACATCTGTAAAAAGTGGCATGGTCAAAAGTGTGATAGACATATTTCCACACACACAAAGCTACTGAGGCTGCTTACATTCAACTAAACACCTCATGAGATTTTATTTCTTCCTTTGGAGTTTTACTGTTGTTAGGTGCCTTTGAGTTGGTTCTAACTCATAATGAGCTGTACAACAGAATGAAATACTGCCCAGTCCCGTGCCGTCATCACAGCCGTTGCTTTTCATGAGCCCACTGCTGCAGCCACTATCTCAGTCCATCGCTTTGAGGGTCTTCCTCTCACTGACCCTCTGCCAAACATGGTGTCTTTCTCCAAGGACAGGACCCTCCTGATAACATGTTCAAATTAAATGAGAGGGAGTCTCACCATCTGTGGTAGTTAAGGTTACGTGTCAACTTAGCTGGGCCTGGGTTTGAGTAGTTGGGCAGCTGGATGTAGTTATTCCCCATGATGAGACTGGTAATCAACTCCATGGTGGAATCTACTGTGAGCAGCTGAGTAACTGGCTTAGGGATGTGGTCTGTTTCCAGTATATAAGAAGAAGCTTTGAGAAAGTTCGTTTGATTTTTGGCACACCATTTGGCCGAGTCTTCATGTCGATGGCCTCCCATGTTGTTTGCTGATTTTAGGACTATTAATGGACTTGAATTAGTAGCGTGCTGTATTGTTTGATAATTTGCGACTGTGCCATTTTACTTGTTGACCTTGGGTTCATCAGCCTCAGCAGACAGCACCTGCCTGAGGTAAGAGACACCCACCAGCCACTCCTTGGAAGGAAGATTAGACAATCTATTTCCATAGAGAT